AAAGCAAAGTCTCAGGAGGATAAATACTTTTCTACGTCTATGAAATAAATAAATCTTGCTTCCTAAGCAAACTGTGCTATAAAAATTGCATCGATCAAAGCAGTATCAAATTCAGAACAGAATTCAAGAATAAGTCTAATCGCCATGGCTGAAGAAGTGAAGCTGTTTGGAGCACGGCGAAGCCCTTTTAGCCACAGAATAGAGATTGCTCTCAAACTCAAAGGCGTTTCCTATGAATTCATAGAAGAGGATCTCCAAAACAAGAGTCCCCTGCTTCTCAAATACAATCCCGTCCACAAGAAAATTCCGGTGCTCCTCCACAATGGAAAACCAATCGCAGAGTCAATCGTTATTCTTGAATACATCGAGGAAACTTGGAAAACAAATCCCATCTTGCCGGCAGACCCTTATGAGCGAGCCATTGCTCGTTTCTGGGCTAAGTTCTTGGACGATAAGGTAAGCATCATTTATGTATCAAACAAGAGTTAGCTGATTGTCACTGCAGGGGTATCAACTCGATCAAACTCTGGTTCCTATATGCTGTGCATCTAATTACTCCCAATTTTGTTTTCTTTTGCGAGTTTAGTGTATACCTGCAGCTTGGAATGCTTGCTGGGCCAAAGAGAAGGAGAGAGAGAAAACCATGGAAGAAGCTTCTGAATGTTTGAAAACACTTGAAGGCGAGCTCAAGGACAAGAAATTCTTCGGAGGAGATAAGGTGGGGATGGTGGATATTGTTGCCAACTTTATCGCCTTCTGGCTTAGCGCCCTTCAAGAAGCCGTTGGGGCTGACCTGCTCACACCAGAGAAATTTCCTGTTTTATTTAAATGGAGTGAGGAGTTGGTGGGGTGTCCCATCATCAAGGAAAATCTTCCCCCAAGAGATCAACTAATGGCCTTTTTCAGGGCTCGCCTAGAAAGTTCCAAATAATACAGTATTCCTCCTAATTTACCATACTACTAGCTTTCGTTGCAACATGCTCTATCTTACGTATCTTATGTCGGTACCGTCTTGTGTGGTTCTGTGTGTCTGTAAGTTTCTCAATTTCCCCTAAATGTTGTAAGAATGTGATCGCTCTATGTTTGTGCTTTGAAATAAAAACCCTTTTAAAATATTATTCATATTTAGCAATCACCATAAACATTTTGAGGTTTTTTTATCTCAATGTAAATATTTTTAATATTTATGGTCAGACTCTCTTTAAATTAACTCTTGCATACCTAATGTAGCATATATTAACTTGGTACACTCGTAGTGTACCCTATGTTAGCCCAGTACAATCTCAAGACTTAAATCTCATTTACAAAACAACAATCACTTATGAAAGAATCCAAATCTTAAAGTTTTTCTAATTAGTTCTGCTAGTGATTCTATTGAGAGAGGTGCCTCAAGCATCGAATCATTCGACTTTGTCTTAAATATTCTAACCGAACCCAGAGGAGCAATTTATTAAATTCTCAAAATAAAGCAATTCAGATCCAAACTGGTTTCAATAAATAGCATCAGAGATTAGGACAACAGGGACAGCATCATGGCAGATGAAGTGAAGCTGTTTGGAACATGGGGAGTCCTTTTAGCCGCAGAGTAGAGATTGCGTTGAAACTCAAAGGTCTTCCATACGAGTTAAATGAAGAAGATATGTCGAACAAGAGTCCTCTGCTTCTGAAATACAATCCCGTGCACAGGAAAATCCCTGTCCTCCTTCACAATAGAAAACCAATTGCGGCGTCCCT